GTATACTAAAATAAGTATGCATAAAGCTTCCGACTTAGTTGGGGAAAAGTTTCCCATCCTCTGCAGTGAGCCTCTTCCCCCATCCCTCTGCTGGCATGTTTGACTCTCCTGAATATGTTGGCCTCAGTGTTCTGGCTCCTTGGCACATGTCTTCGGTTGGCTTTCCATCGGCTACATTAGCAGAGAGAGATAGGACTGGAGTGTCTTGAAGGAGGCGGCCTGTTGAATGTCTTCCCACCCTCTCCTTTTCTCTGGGACCCTCTGTGGGCCCTCCCTGTGTTCCCTGCCCAGCCCCAGCCCCCGCCAGGGGAGAGAGGGGAGCAGGAAGGGACCGATAGCCAGCCAGACCGCTCCTCTGTCGAAGGAGCCTTATCTCAGAACTGCACACATTGCACTGAGCGCATCCTTTTCCTGGTTTCTGGGCCCGGGAGGTGGAGGAGGTGGAGGAGGAGTAAACACGGCTGGATATAGGTGTGTTCTCCAACCCCACTGTGTTGCAGCTTGGGACTGCCTTTTTCTTTCGATCCTTTTTCTATGGTTTTCGCAAAAAAGGATTTTTGTAAAACTGTAAATTAGTGGTGTGTCCCTTCTCTTGCAGTAGATGTCCATTTTAAAGTACATGTACTATTAAAGAAAATAAACATTGTTCTTCAAAAGGAAGTCTATAATTAAAGTAGTTAATGAGGTATGTTACATTTCTCTGAAAGATGGGGTAGGTAAGTTTGAGAAACCGGCTCGAGATACACTTGTTATATTCCATGGAATGCTCTTAACATCCCGATAGGAATGAATATCTGAAGTGCTTTGACAAAAAATCCATAAAAAAACGTCATCTGTGGAAGCCGTAGTACTGTAAAAAGCACGACCAATCATTTTAGCCGGCCCGGCTAAAGTAACTGGATGGCCTACCTGCCTGTCAGCCTTCCAGCTGTGCACAAACTTATCTCTCGTGCCCTCATTGGTCATGTGCGCGTTCGTGTGTGTTGGAGGAGGGGCTCTGTAAGGAAGTGGCAGATTTGTTCCGGCTTTGTATTTTCAAATTCTAGCGCACTCGAGCCGGTTTCTCCAAAATTACCTACCCCACCTTAAGTCTCAGCAATATAAGGGAAAACAAATAAATCACTGTAGCATTAGCATCTTATGGTATAAACACATTTGACTTACCCTCACTTAACTGCACTTTCTTTTGGAGGGTTCATCTTTTGTTTCCAGGGCTTCACCTTATCAGTTCAAAACGTAAAACAAGTGACTGACATACTGAAAATTCAAAAATGGACTGCAAACCTCAAACTATATGAAGCTGCCGCTGCCTAAAATAATACACAGTTCAGTAATGTATTTTAGTGCCCATTTCTTTTTATCTTTATGAATGAATACGTCCAACATACTTGAGTAGAAAATTGCTTAAGAAAATGCTATTGTTTTATGTAATAATACTAAGCAGAAAACATCATTTTCATTATATCAGGAAACAAATCAAATCAACAAATCGATAACTAACATTGTTCCTGCAGTGATAACATTTATTTTAATCTCAGCATTTTGTCTCATGCTTGCTGTACTGATATATGACACAGAAATGGTGACTGATAATACCAGGCCATAGAAACACACACACACACACACACACACACACACACACACACACACACCTCTGGAAATAAGATCTCCAACATTACTGCAGAGTTGTTTCTTGGTAACATGTTGCCCTTAACATTCGCCAACAAAGATCTCCAGGGCTGTCAGTAGTGCTGTCTGGATCAGCAGCTTCACATCCACACTGTACATATGTGTGTCCTGCCGGATCAGGGTCTAATGGAGACCCCAGGTAGTGAGGACGGACCACATTCCAGCCCCTTCCCCTGATGAAGGAGATGTTTCTCTCTCAGTCACTCTCCTCTCGTTCTCCCCCTCGCTCATTCACCCTCTCTAGAGAGTAATTTCACAGGCAGTTCTAAAGTGGCCCCCAGCCATCTTCCCAAATCCCTGTTACATGTTGTTTGGCGCTGTCAGCTCTAAGCCCCATCTCCACTCTCCCAAGCAGAGAGGATGCCATTGTGCAGTAACAGGGAGTATAGATTTTCTCTGGGAAGTTGGAAAGTTTTGTTTAATAGCACCTCACCTGAAGGGCCTTCCCCCCCCCCCCTCGTTAGAAGTTGGGCTTCTTTCTAGTGGAGGACTGAGGTGGCGGAAAACTTTGTGGTCCATTTGAACACCTGGCTTGTCATTAAGCCTCAATCTTGTGCTTTATTAATGTGAGTGTAATGTATTAACTTCACTCTGCATTTCAGTCTACTTACAGTAAGTCCCAAAAGAACAGTTCGGATCTGCATCCACATTGTTTTACCAGCCCATCAGTTAGCTTGTCTACCTCAATCTGTGTTAAGGGCCAAAGTAATGTAATCTGAGTGTAAAAGCTTAAAGGCCGCACCATGAGGTGACTCTACACAACACGGCATATTCAATTCATCTCTAATCTGTAGGGTTTGAATAATGCCATCTCTGAGGCAATACTCTGAGCGGCAGCATTGTTTAGAGCGACTCTCAGGAGGAGCTCCTGTATTCTTCTGGACCAATCATTATGCATTGAGTAGGCCATTAGGAAAATGAAGACAAATGGGTCGCAGGGGTGAGGTGACAAATTGTTCCTGCTGTAGAGTTAAAATGTAGTCTGCGTTGTACCTCATAGTTGTAAAGTAGTCCCTGTTTAATAGTGTCGTAATAACTCATGTCCCCCAGATTGGAGACAGTTTACTCAAAACTAGTGAATGCGTTTGGTTCTTTACTCCTTTTTTTTTAGGACATCCCTGCACTTCCTGTCTAATAGTGTCACCATCTACTACAGGGGTGGCCAACCAGTCAGAGGTTAAGAGCCACATTTTGTATATGTTACTGCAAAGAGCCACATCAAACACACAGTCACTGATACCGCTTGTTTCAGTTTTTTTGTTTTCTGGAGACAAGATTTCAACCACGTCACTGATGCATCTTTGTGGCATTGGGATATTTTTTTTTTAAATCCTCTGGAGCAGAGAGAGGAGCTGTGGATTATTGTTATTGATTAATGCATCAGTGTTTCTTATAGGGTCAAAAACACTAAACTCACAACTTAAAATGAAAGCGTTTAGTTTATTTAATAAAAGAGCACATGTTCAATGTGAAAAGTGACAGTAGTTATAGATTATTTGCAATTTGGTGCTTTATATAGATGTAAAAAAAAAATTATATATATTTTTTAAACACCTTGAATTTCAGGGTGGGGGGCGTGGGGCTCCGTTGGCGGGGCGCAGCGCCCCTCCAAGACAATGGTAGGGGAAACACTGGATAGTGTTTAATCAACGATAGGTTTCCCCCCCCCTCAAAGGTGATTGGTTCACTGCATCGCAGGTATTATTGTGATTGGCTCTTGGGCCACATCAAAATTAGACGCGCTGTCATCCTCTCATACTGACACCACACATACACGGGACGAAAGTAACGGAGCGATTTTATCTGAGCACAAACAACTTTGACCGGCCAAATTACGTTAATACTTAACAGACCTACTAAATATCAGGTTTAATTGTCAGGAGTAGCTAGTGTTGTCACGATACCAACATTTTGGTTTCGATACCAAGTCAAGAATTGCGATTCCGATTCTTTTTCGATACTTTTCTTAAAAAAAGGAAAACAGTCTTAAATGTAATTATTGTGCTTTATTTCACACCAGAACCATAACACAACCTTTTAAACAATGAGAACAATAAATGACAATAATTCGTATTAATACATTTCTCACAGACAGGCCTCGTGGTGTCCGTAGGCTTGTCCTCACTGTCAGAGATATAGCTCAAATACTTCCAAATTTCGCTTCTGGCGTCTTTTTTGTCAACAAGCCGAGGCGCAGCGGCAGTTGCACTCCCACTTGCAGCCATGCTTCTCGTTTTCTCACATGCTCTGGCAGCTAGCGCGTGCACGAGAGAGGGGAGGCACTTAGAGCGTGCTTTAGAGGGGCGGGACTGCAGGCACGGCTGCAGTGCAGGGAGTGGAAGCAGAGCGCTGAACACACACGGCTCTTATTAAAACGGCGCTTTCTCACCGGAGTACTTTCCCCCGTCATTCTTAAAGTACCGATACTAATAAAACGGAGGAATCGTAATGTTTTTAACGGCAGGGTATCGCGGTACCTTTCAAGTATCGGTACACCGTGCAACACTAGTCAGGAGTCAGTGGCTCTCCCCCAAACTCACACATATAAAATTCGATATGAACTGAAGAGCCGCATGAAACTAGGCAAAGAGCCGCATGCGGCTCGAGAGCCGCGGGTTGGCCACCCCTGATCTACTACAAGCAGAATGTCAAAGAAGTCATACTTTATCAAAAGGAACAAAACAAGTATATCAACACCTTTTTTGAGAGTTTCATCAACACAAATTAAAACACCATAGCTACTAAGTGCACAAATATAAAAAATAAGTGTTTTTTCCCTAAAGCACCCGATGATCAAAGTATAAACTGTCTAATGAAATAGAAAATGTGTGTTAACCGAGAGAAGACAAGTAGAAGTATGCCTGAGTACTATGATGAATTGAATATATATGTAAATATTTCTAAACCCTGTAAAATGAATTAAAAGACAAATATATTCTTTCTATTTGATGTTCTGTAGTGTCACAATGGTTTAGTATATTTAAGGTATGTTTGTGGTTAGACGTGGAGTTAAGGAGCACAGCTGGATGTGTGGAGCTACATTGTGTTGGAAGAATATGATGATAAATGTCCACTGTGTGATAATTATGTCCAGAGATGCTTATTTTAAGATGATCCTTTAACACCTATTGTTGCCTCAACATCCTATTTGGGCTCTTTTCACTCAAGAAAATCTGTCTGGTTAATCTGTGCGTGATGATTGACGATCACTTAAGCTCCTCGGTCCACCATTGTCCGTCTATTTCTGTGTTGATTGTTTAAATTCTGCATTAAATCCTAACCCTGTCTTCTCATGTGTGTTTTTGGTCCAGGAGAGCAACAGCAGTGATTCTCAGGGTGAGACTGAGAAGAATGTTACTCCTGCGGCGTTCAAACTGGATACAGAGACCATCACCAACACTGTGAAAAGTACTCTCACTATGCAGGAGTACTTTGCTCAGCGAATGGCTCAGTTGAAGAAGTCTCGTGGACAGGCCGAGAGTGAAGAACCATCGATGGAGACAGACGAGACTTCAGGTCAATCTGAGGAACCCATCCTCGTCCCCACTGACGACTCAGAAGAACCCAAGAAGAAGAAGAAGAAGAAGAAGAAGAAGAAGAGCAACACGTCAGACGATGATCTAGAAGTGGTAGAAGAGAACAGTTCCACCGTTCCTGTCGTAACGGTGGACGATGAGGACCAGCAGCAGGAGAGTTCAGGGAAAAAGAAGAAGAAGAGACAAATGGTAGAAAGTGAAGAAGCTACAAATGAGAACTGTAGCTCAACCTCCGGTGTTGAGCAGAACTCCGAGGAACTGCCTCCATCCAAGAAGAAGAAGAAGCATAAAAAACAGCATAGGGAAACTGAGCTTCAAAATGGACATGAGCCAACTGAGGATCAAAGTGTAGACTCTGAGGCTGTTGGCAAAAAGAAGAAACACTTAGAGGAGGTGGGCGATGAAGACAAGGTGGAGGTGGTAGAGAAGAAATCTAAAAAGGACAAGAAAAAGAAAAGGAAACATCAAGAATAGGAGGAAATGAATCAAATCTACCTCCAACTTCAACAGTCCTTTAGGCTTCTGGGGGACTGAGTACTCAAGTTGTATCATCGTGAACATGATCATGGTGCCACACTTGCCTTAAATGAGCAGGTTACATGTCTTGTATTGAAACTGCCGTGAGAAGGAGATTAGACTCCTCAAAGCTGCAGAGTAAAACCCAAAAATGTGTACTGTGGGCCACAGGGATACACATTGCAGCAGATGGCAAAAAAGCCATGCCTAACAGAAAAAACTAGACATTATTGGGAAGAAAATATATTTGTTAGTCTATCAATTTCCAGGACAATGGTTGCTCTGTTTCTAGTCTATACGCTAAGCAGTTACAGGCTGTAGCTTTATATTTAACAGACAGATGCAAGACCTGTAACGATGAATTTATCGAACACTCGGCAAGAATGAAATTACTATTCTTTTAATGTATTTAAAAACTCCCTTTCTGTACATCTGACTGACTCTGCTAAGTCTATAATGTATTCATACAGACATATTTTGACTTACTTTTTTAAATGAGTCTGCTTTCACATCAAATTTGGCAAACAATTAAATGCATGCTGGCAATTGTTGTAATGAATACAAATATCCAGATTAATAAAGACAACAAAATATGCAGGAAAATAGTGGTTTTTTGAAAACTATATGCAATTTTTCTTCATTTTTTTTCAAATTCCTTTATGTCTCACCATTAATAAGCATCTGCATTACTATCTATTTAGCATTCACAGTGAATTACATTTACTTGCCAGCAATTACTTTTAACCATCTTATGCCATTTCTTCAGACAATGGATATGTTCTTAAATGAAAGCGACACAGAAAGTCACATTTGAACAGAAGCACACCGACGTAATTGTTTTCCTTCATGTGATTTGACAAATATGAACTGATGCCATTTGATGTTTTTCTGACCCATTCATGAGCTGTAAGAAAAAAGACAAACGTTGGCCCTTCGACCGGATCACATGACTTTTTAAATAAATACAAATAGCAATGTCTGTTTGATTTGTGTTGTGTTTTCCTTCATATAGTGTGAAATGAGTTTATAAGGGAACGGAGAGTGGTGAGGAGAAATAGTCGTGCAGTGCGTACCCTATACGAGCTGATCATGAACGTTCACAGGTTAGACCTCCAAACATAGATATGGCTTTCACAACACTCACCTTTTTCCACTTCGGAATATGATTAATGAACCTAGGAAATATTTAACTAGACTGACGAACTCTCAACAAGCCATACTTGTTCAGAAATGAGTGGGTGGTATGAGTCAAAGGAGGAAACTACAAATGTCCAGCTTTACACGTGAATACAGCATTCCTCGTAATTATTTTGAGTTACTGACATTTCAATTGTCATCCTATGGTGTTAACAGCCCGACTATTACTGTAAGCGTCTCAGGTGTGCAGGTGGTTTTTTCCCATTACGTCAACATTTACTGTGGAGTCATGAGACTTGATACAGGTTATTACAAGCCGTTATTTAACCCAAATATAAATTGTTTTCACATTAATTAATGTTGCTCTCCAACTGTTGTTGCTATCATGTGAAAAAAGAATGACCTTTCCCTTTAAACGTCACAACCGTGTTAATTTGTTACACCACCCACATTTACTGACATTTCCACATGATGTTGCAGCTCACTTTTATTTTGCAATGAAAACCGTAGATTGAGGTTTTAATACAGCAGATTATATATGACGCAGAAACATAAAAGTGATAAAGGTTTGGCCTAACAACGTTAAACACTGGCATTTATTTTAAAACTGGATGCTTGATTTAAGTTACCATAGTGACAATTCTTTATGCAGCACATGCATCAAGACAAACCCCCTCGCCAAGTCTTCAGTAGCCACATGTATTTTACTCTGAAAGGGTAAACAACAGCAGGCCGATGCAGCTCCCACCCACCCACACATACATAAAGCTATTAGTCATTTCAGAAACCCACCACTCAGAGCTTTCATGTGCTTCATTCCAAATTGCAAATATATGAAACTCTAACTTTGTCAATCAGACTTGCTCACTCCTGTTTTCTCACACTGCTGTGACTTTTACTCACACTGACTTCACTTCAATGTGGCCCATGTCAGAGCAACATGGCTCTATATATCACTGATGTGGCTGCCCTACGCACTATCTGGCTTCAGGTGCCGTATCCTCTTCCTGTGAGGAGGGGGGGGGGGGGCAAGGTTCACACACAACTAGAGCTGACACTTAAGTTTGATGGTCAGGGAATCACAACGGAGCAAAAGATGTGTACTGCAAACTTAAGATTGGATTGGAGGTTAGAAGAGGGAAAACGTTAAACCAGTATCTGTTATCAGGTATACTCCCTCCCCCATACATATTACAAACCAAAATACTATCTGACCTGTGATCAGTAGCTGTGTTCCAGCAGTGTGTGTGTGCCCTTGTGTGTAAAAGTGTGAGCTTCTCCGTGGATGCAGCCCAAGAGTATCCTGTCAACAGGAACTCATGGATTTGATATGAGCCATGGCCACAGAAGGAAACTGATTTGTTTGTTCACTGGTTTCATCTCCTCGCACCCACAGATTTGTTCAGAGATTCCACATTGATCTGCATCCAAACTATTAAAGAGAACTCAGTACAGTCATTTTAAAATAGTATAATATCGATCCTTAGGAGTTTCAAATATATTCAAAGATGCAGCACATTATAAAAACTTAAAAAGAAAAAGTGTTGTTTCCCTGGACCATGACATCCTTAATGCTTAGGAGTTCAGTGGAAACCTATAAACACTTGTATCCAGTGCAGTGTTCAAGTATTACTCGTTGAGCAAGACAGGTTAGATCAGGTTGCCAGGTGAGGGTAACCTTGTGGAAAGCAAAAAAAACAATGTTGCCAAATTCCTACAGCAACATGAAGTGTATGTAGAATAAGGAATTAGTTTTCTTTAATAGGTAACAATTATTTCAGTTGTTCCATTTTGACTCACCCTGGTCCTTTATGATGTGTGCCCAACATAATTGTAAAATAAACCTGCACAGTGACTGAGTTCTCGCTCTCTGTCAGTGGAAAGTGTTGTTTTGTTGTGAGGCCAGTTTAAGTAGTAAATGGTGTTGAAATGCTGCTCTCTCTCTTTTCCCTTTTCACGGGGCTCAACATGCAATCAAGGAGGAGCCGAGAGTCCTCGGGGGCTTCTCCTGGAACCTGCTCCTCAAATATAAAGCGCTCCCCCATCCACCAGGAAAGACTGAATCATAACTCACGAGGAGGAGCCGCAGCTGAGCATATCTCCACAAACCTGTCCTGACATCTGACTGTCGCCTGTAGCTCTAGTGATTCAGGCAGTGTTAAACACCGCTGGATTTTATAAAAGCAGTTTCTGTAGTTTTTTTAATCAGCCTTTAGTCAACCTCCACAGAGAAGACAACTTATCAGAGAGACAGAGTGAGAAGCGCCTAAGTTTGGACAGGAGAGTGCGCACATGGCAGCCCTCATCAGCGCGTACTCGTCGTGGCCGGAGTCCTTCGAGTGTCCTCCAGGAGACGGGAACGCGTCTGACGGACACGGCCCGCAAAGGACCCCCGCGGACAAGGCGCCGGAGCCGCGCATCAGACGGCCCATGAACGCGTTCATGGTCTGGGCCAAAGACGAGCGCAAGAGACTGGCGGTTCAAAACCCAGACCTGCACAATGCCGAGCTCAGCAAAATGTTGGGTGAGAAAAAGTTATTTAAAGTTTTGTTAATTAACAACTTTATTTGTTATGTGAGCAGTAATATTTGCATATAGCCTATTATTATTGTCAATATTATTACTGCTATTTTTTACGGTCCTCGCACTTATAATTGGCCTCAGGCCTCAGAGGTTTTTCCTAAAGTTTTAGAGTTGTTTCCAACACAAAAATGATAAGTAGCCTACATTAGAATCTGAAAAAACAGACAGTTATCGGTAAATGTGTTTTAAAAAGAAAAGACAACAAAGCAACGTGTTTAATCTTAGTTGTCAGACCAAATTAATTAATTACGTAACTTCAGACATTATGAAGCGCGTTGCTCAAAGTGAATATCCCCGTTAAACCGTAACATTCGTTAAGACTATGGACTTAGTAAAGACAATATATGTTTCTGCGTTGGATTTACGCTGGTGGATTAGTATTTAGTGCCAAATTCAAAATCTGGCAAATCGGAGATCAGGTTAAAGCCAATTCCAGAACGGCAAAACATCTCAAATATGCTTTCATAAATAAGGGTAAAATAGGGACTTGTGTTTATCCTAAAAAAGGGCACTATTTACCTTTTATAAACAATTAATAACTTCAAGTAAAATAAGCTGATTATTAGCTTTTCAGTAGAAGTGAATATAGATGTTTTCTCTTTACTTTTACGAGTGAATGAACATTTAATATAGCAATTATGAGTCTTCCTTTGAAAGTAAAGTAAAGTCTAATCTTATTATTAATTGAATGTCTGTTTTATAGTGCTATTGTATCTATGTTTAATGTTTACAATCTTGTTGCAATTCCACCATTATAAATAGGATTGTCGTATCTTTATTATCCACAAAGGGAGTATAAGTGTAAACATTTATTCAAACATACACACAAAACTTATTTATGGGTTTTTTACAATTTGTAGAAATTGTGTGTCTTAGAAATGTATTCTGTAATGTATCATTGTGTTAGAACAGACTTTAACAATTAACAGAAAAGTGCAACACTGAATTACAAACTCATTCAAGATTTGCAGTTAAAATAAATTAAATTAAATCTGTGTTTTCCTCTTGCAGGCAAGTCCTGGAAGGCCCTGACCCCCCCTGATAAGAGGCCCTATGTGGAGGAGGCAGAGAGGCTCCGGGTGCAGCACATGCAGGACTACCCCAACTACAAGTATCGGCCTCGCAGGAAGAAACAGCTGAAACGCATCTGCAAGCGGGTGGACCCCGGCTTCCTGCTGAGCGGGCTGGCCCCAGATCAGAACGCCCTGCCCGAGCAGAGGGTCCTCTGTCACCCCCTGGACAAAGACGAGGGCAGCCTCAGGAGTGGCTTCTCCAGCCCCAGCCCGCTGCCCGGTGTCAGAAGCTTCAGAGACCCGGCCCCCTCCAGCAGTAGCTTTGACACCTACCCCTACGGCCTGCCCACCCCCCCTGAGATGTCCCCCTTAGATGCCATGGACCACGAGCATGTCCCCCCCTCTTATTATTCCACATCTGGTAGTTCCTCTTCCTCCTGCCCAGACGACCACCACCAGAGTCAGACACACATGGGCAGCCCGCCCCCGTACCACACTGACTATTCTCAGAGCCAGATCCACTGTGGGGGCGCACACATGGGTCACATCTCTCTCATGTCCCAAGGTGGTGGGGGACTGATCCCCGTCCCCCCGCTGTCTTACTACAGTAGCTCATCTTTCCACCATATCCACCACGGGCTCCACCAGGGACACCTGGGTCAGCTGTCCCCCCCACCAGAGACCCAGGGTCACCTGGAGACTCTGGACCAGCTGAGCCAGGCCGAGCTCCTGGGTGAGGTGGACCGCGATGAGTTTGACCAGTACCTGAACTCCAATGGGCCCGGGTTCCCCCCCGAGCAGAGCAGCAGCCTGACTGTTACAGGACACATCCAGCTGACGTCTCCCAGTGCTGGTTCTGCCCCTCCCAGCAGCTCCACAGAATCCAGCCTCATTTCAGTTCTCGCAGACGCAACGGCGGCCTACTACAACAACTACGGCATCTCGTAAGCTCACATTACACATGGGGCTGATCAGAGACACTATGGGGTCTAAATGGGTGAAGACATTTGGGATGATGTTGCACTTGTGTGCCAGTCGGAGAACAGTTTTGGGGCTCTTATCTGTCATTTCAAATCTTGTATAAGCATCCATGAGCAACATCATCCCACCATGATTCAAACCTAAAGTGATCACTGAGCAATATGATTGTCTGAAGCCGAGGAAAGAACAAAGAGCTATGAGAGGAATATGAAAAAAAGGGAGATGGACACCTCAGGGATGCAGACACAAAATACTATAGTATGCC